CTTAACATTTCATTACCAGCTACTGCATCTATTAACATATCGGCTATAGGCATAAGATATTCATCTTTAGGAGTAGCTAAGTTCAAATCTTGATAATCAACACATACTCTCATTTTACCATTCTTTTTAACAACAGGGACAATATTAGAAATCCAATCGACATACCTGGCAGTCCTGATAAACTTTGCTTTCAGAAGTCTTTCGATCTCTTCTTTGATCTTACCCATTACCTCAGGTGCAAATCTTCTCGGTGCTTGTTTGACTGGTTTTCTACCTTCTATGATAGGTAGTCGATGTTCGACCAGATTTCGATCCAATCCAGGCATTTCTTCATATTCCCAAGCAAAGCAGTCCTTGTATTCTTTTAACAAGGAAATCATGTCTTCCTTTATTTCTTTTCCGAGATATTTGCTGATATATGTAGGCTTCTGGTCCTCGATACTCCCCAAGTTAATTTCTTCTAATGGGTCCTGTGCCTCGACTTTTTTGTGATTTGATGTAATGGATTTTTCAAAACCTAATGGAGAATTATCGTAAATACAATCAAGCATAACTTGATCGCTTTTATTTGCAACTAAAGTTGAATGAATCGATTTATTTAGTCCTACCTTACTACTACTACTTTCTTGGCTCTTCTTTTCATCTTCATATTTTCTCAATCGAGCCAAGAACTCTTCGTAATCTCTATTCATCTTCACCGGCCACTTCGAGGTTGGCCCCCTCTTTGATCATAACAAATCCTTTCTTTTCATTCATCTCTAAGAATCGCTCTTCATGTAGCTTTGAATTAAAATCTTCGATAGTTTCGAAGGTGAATGGTTGAGCAAGTGCCAGATTCTGCAGTGCCCGACCAGCCTGAGATACGAATGTTACAAATTCGTGCTGGTCCCCTTGGATTACTTCGAGATGTCCATCTCGATTCCACATGAATAATTTCTGGTGAGCCGTAGATGGTACGGCCCCTACTCCATGGATCCATTCCCTACCTAGTGCGCCAATTTGTTTCTGGTGAAATTTCGATCCATTTCAACTCTTAAGATATTTTGATCCTAATCGAAATTCTACCACGTAAGTTCTTTTTACTTAGGCTAGCAAATTAATTTTCAATCGAGATGCGTATGAAAATCGAATTTTGCCCGTTTTCAGAGATACTATTTTTGGTGTTTTATATTTAAAGTGCTCGAAGTAAAGAAAGTAGAAAATTCGTGGAATCGAAAAGCAGTGCTGAACAATAAATTGCAAAGAAACGTAACATGCGGAAATCTTAAATTTTCTTTAAGTATAAAAGACAGGGAATCGAAACAGCAGGAATGTAAATAACAGGAAGTATAAATGACAGTAAATCAAATGTGCAGAAAATATAAATAACTTGGAAATCGAAATTGCATTAATGCTAAATGACAAGAAAACTCAAATGCGGAAACTTAACTTTCATTGAATCGAAATGACCAAAAATCGAAAGTACAGAAACATAAGATTGCTAAAGATAAATTGCATCACAGTAAATTACCAGGGAAAATATAGAAAACGGTAAAGGTATTCAATGAGCATGGAAATCCAGATTGCCAGAAGCTTCATGATGTTCGTCGTTTCTCCGGTAGACTTCTCACTAATGATTCTGTTCTCTGCCAATTTTCTGCTCCCCTTTCCTTTCATCCTTCGCCCTATTTATAGAGCATCCTTTAAGCAAGTAACTTCTTAAGAGCAGTTAATGAAAACTGCTACCACGTCCTACGTGCATGTTGCAGTTTCTTCTTCGGTGTCAAAACTGCACCCACGTTCCCATGATCTTCGACTTCTGTCATGGTTTAAAAACTGCCTTCACGTTCCCATACATGAGGTAACTGCTTCTTTGACCGACCTTTGCCATCGCTTGCCACGTTTGACGTACACGTCAATTGTTTCTTTCTTTATAACTTATCCGGGATTTCGATACATGGGTTAGCCTTTCTCCGATGTTGATTTCAGAATTTCGAGAACGTTTGACTTGCCTTTGATTTCTTTTAATCTTAACATTACATAATTCTGGTTTCTCGATTTCATTCACTTACGGATATTAAACACTCATCCTTCGATTCTCGATTCAAACTCTCGCTTATATTGTCGCATGGTCGTCGAACGCATTTTCCAGCTATCTTTCGATTTATCAGTCTTTAACTCAATCAAAAAATATTCTCGATTTGCTCCCATTTGTTTCTCGATTTTTCTTCCCTTCGTTTTTTCGATCACTTTTCTCGATTTTCCGCTAACACTATGATATTTAATTTTTAGTATTTTATTTCCTAATATCTTTCTTTCTCTTACGACGTTGTAAATGTATATATTTTTCCTTTTTCCTTCACCTCAATTTATTTATAAATAAGATGTACTTTTGTGTAAGTTATAATTTACCGAGTCTCATTAATTTTTACAATAAAAAAAGCTCATACAAATTAAAAGAAAATAGATCACATATATTTAAAAAGGTTGCATGAAAAAAAAGAAAAAAATAAACATGTTTATAACATTTTCCTTAAAATAGTGCGCAGGATGGTAGTGTGTAACCCATGGACCACGTAAAAGCAAAGTCCTCCACCCAATGAAATTTTGTTTACATCGTGTGGTCCTGTTTAGGGGACACGACCAGGATTTGTTTGTAAAATCTAAATTATATTCACATACTATATTTATTAACTAATTATATTATATACTAACATGGCATGGTGAAGTGTGGGAGAATTTTTTTTTTTTTTCATTTACTAAACAGTATCTTAATTATGATCGAATTCAGATACTAATTTCCTTGACCAACATAAGATGAATAAATGATTTTTTTTTAAACAACAAATAATTAAATATCCAGCATTCTAATTAAAAGATGTGAGTTTTTGGTCAATCACGCAAAATAGAGTGTATGATTGACATTACATTGGGCATGTGATGAGTATAATTAGTAATTAAGTGGCATGGTGGCGTGTGGGAGTATAGCATCAAAGTTTGCATTTTTATTTTTTTAAGCTTCTGCTTACTTTTAGGTACACTATCATTACTGTTTAGTTTTCTCATCGATTATATTTAAAATATTCTGTTAATAATTTATTGTGAGATTTTCAGAAATTACTCTAAAATATTCACTTAACAAATATCTTTATTATAGTTAAGATAATTTATCTCTTTATAAACAGGTTTAATATTTCATTTGATTTATTCACACTTTATTTCTTTTTCTTTCACATTCTTATTTAAATATTAAAGAAAGTTTAAGAGAAACTTAAACTGTCTTCTTCGAATCCAATTAACAACAAAAGGAAAATATTTATTCTTTATTCTTGGAATTCATTAAAAAAAAATCAATTATTAAAACTTATAACTCTCCATTCTCAAACTAATGTATAAAACTATGTTTTATTCTTAACGTTTCACTAACCTCAAAAGACTCTTCAAAGTTTATTTGGAAAAGAAAAAAGAAAAAAGAAAAAGTCTCGTACGAATAAAGCAAACAAAAGATACCGCGAGAAAAAGTGGAAAAAAAAGAGGTAGAAAAATGTAATGAAAATTTTGTCGATATGTGATATTTTCTATTTGTTTAATAATTGGAGTTTGAACATTTTAAAATTTGAAAAAAGCATCTTGTCTTTGTCTAAAACGGGTAATAAAGTTTGACCCCATGTATTCTTTTGAAGCAAGGTACATGCATCACATATTTCTCAATGTATTCAATCTCCTGTTTTGCCTTATCCACCACCAAAAAATGCTTGTTTCGTGGAGAAAACCCACACGTCGCATTTTATCCAGCATCTTGGAAAAAAAATAAAAAATATTAGCTGCTTGATAATACCAAGTTTCATGTTTATAATCGTATTGATAACTTCAATCATCCCTTAAATATGAAAAAAAAGTTTAATTAATTTATTTTTGTTTATATATTTTATTTTATTTTGTGTTTGTATACTCTTATTTAAAATAAATAAATATAAATTTATATACCACCTTATTAAAGTCAACATTATCTACCAATTTGACAACTTGCCAATCTTTAGAAACCATTAAGTTTTTTTTTTAGTTTGACATCATTGTATGAGCATCTTTTGACTTTGTCTCTCAAGGATCTATATATCATTTTGCATCTTGAGTATACACCTCTTTAATTCGATTTTACACTCTCTGTTTCAATTTTCAATAAGAACAAAAGTCATGGAAAACGAAATCTCAATTAATTAACAGCCTTTTAAAAATATAATTATAAATATAAATATAAAATATAATTAGTTGAAATGTGAGGCTTTTATTTTACTTTTAAGATAAAATACATTCTTACATTACAAGCAAATACATGTAGTTTTATTTACTTTAAAATAAAATGCATCCTCATATTTGATGAAAATTAATTACCTTTATGTCTTAGAGTCCAAATGCCCTTTTACTTTCTATATTTTGAACTACTTTAAGACCAACACAAATCTACGAGTATGTTTGAAATGATTGAATTCCCCTAACCACCAAGAGTAATATTAGATAGTTATTGGTCAGTTCAACCTAGGCAACATATGTAGTCACCATTGATGACTTACAGAAAGTTCAATGGCGAATACGATTACTTCTTTGAAAAGGTTATCAGAGAACTATTTTTATTTATTTATGACAAGCATATAATAAATAAATTAAACTTTCAATAATTTTATCCTTCTTTTTTAAACATATGAATGAATGGTTAAGGAAATATTTGACATTAAACGTGAAATTAGTTCTTTAACTTCTGTCGGTTATTCTTTAACTTTCCATTAATTAATAAAAATGATTGATTATACCTTTAGAGGAAGGACACAAACACTTACGTTAGAGGCGTAAAATGAAGCAAATTTTGAACACTACATGATTCAAATTACAATAAACAAAATGTGACAACAAATACATTACAAAACAACTAGTAGTATTGGCAGGCACATGGCATGAATGTGCCTAAAACATCTTTATTGGTGGCCTCTAATCACACCATTTAAAGTGTGGACTAGTCATCCTATTTAGAATGAGCTAACCATGCCCTCCACTGAAGATTCTTCAGAGGCGACACTAGCAATATCAAGTTCAACAGATTTCTTGTTAACAAAATTACAATGTTTTCTGATTTCTCCTTTCTTCCCAGTGAGCACATCAATATTACCCATTTTAATCATTGAAGCCTCAAATGCGTCAAAGAAAACCTTTTGATCACCGTTAAACCTGGTGACAATGCCAATGGTATCAGCACCAGGTGTTGAGAACAACTCTTGATCACTCTGAAGCAAGCCCTTCTTTGCCTGAAGATTGGAGTAGTAGGCCTTGTCAAATACATCAGGAGTAGTTAGGTCAAAATTGACAAGGTTGTTCGGTCCTCCTTGGGGGCATTGCGTGCGCAATTGTTGTAAATAAGTTGTGTCGAGAGTTGGATCGGGTTTGCCAGTACCACTGAAGTTGTACAATCGGTCAGTAATGAAAGAGCAGTGAGCTCTGCCAAATGTATGAGCACCTGAAATGAATCATATATATACTAATCCATCATGTGTCGTCTCTTTCAAAAGATGGTGAATTCAAACTAAAGATAATGGTTTTACCAACAACATACCCCTCAGAGTCCAATATCTTACCCAAAATTTCAAGAATTTGCCATTTATTATTGTTAGTATTATTTTAGCTGTTTCAACGCAAAGGATAAATTTGACTGAGGACATGTCTCATTACCTGAGAGCGCAACTAGATCAGTAGTGTCAAGACCTTGTTTAGAAAATGCAGCTTTAAGCCGAGTGAGGTTGAAGAATGGAGCTGGAAGGTTTTCATTGGCAAGTGTTCTGTTTGCCGTTAAACTATCCCTTCTTCCCAATGGAACTTTCCAGTCAGGACCACCACCCTATATCAACACATACATATAGGACAAGTCCATTGCAATATTAGGTTTATTTTATCTAAACTCAACTCTCGAAATAAATATTATAGGTTTAACTCATTTTACACTCAGCACACAGAAGTAAAATAAACATGAAATAGCATTTATATGTAATACCAGAACAGAAGATATTTCAGCTGCAAGGGTAAGAATATCAGCACAAGAAACCACTCCAGGGCAAGCATTTTCCACTGCTGTCTTGATATCGTTCACAACATCCAAACCTCTTATTGAGTTGTTGTTTGGCAAAGCTTCTTGCTCACTCACTATCGTCGCAGTGTTGTTCAACAAAATTGATGCATCACACCCCTACATGTCACAAACATGAACACAGTCAATCAATATATCCATTGTTCATTCTCAATTAGGTAGGGTATAATGAGATTAGGAAGACATATAAATAATAGAAATTTACATTTCACTTATTTTGTAAAAAAATAATACGTGAAGACTTTGATATAAAAGAAATATTATAAATTTTGTAAAACAAAAAGTGATATATACGTGGAATATTGATTTTTGAACCTTTTGACTTTTCAAAAATATCGTGCCAGCACGTTTCATTTCTCTCTATTTTTTCTTAGATTGTATTATTTATCATATTTATATAAGGTGTGAATGTGAATCATTATTCTTAAGAATCATAGGGTTATGATGAGATGAGATTGGATCATAGAAAAAAAAAAGGGTATAATTAATAATGGTCATCGGTGCTATGGAACATAGCCCACCATTCATACTTCCATACACTAAAGAAAATGAAAGTGGCCCCATTGTGCGTGAGATTATTATATACTTTAAATTAGGAGTGTGGTGAATGGAGGCTGCCAAAAGACCTGTCCTGTGCTTTAAGGCCAGTAAAGGGTATGTTCTCATACCTTCAAGTGATTATTTTAATTTTCAGTATCTTACTGAAAGACATGTCATAGAAGTTCTGTGCTTACAAAATATACGTTCTTGTCTTAACGTGTTTCACAAATAGACTAATATATAAAAGAACAAAATAAAGCATGTAAGAAAAAACAAGTTATTTCGTGAGAAAATATGAAAACAGAAAAGAAGACAAGTTTAGCAGCAGTAGAAAAAGAAGAAAAAGTGAGAAAGCAAAGGTGTTGAGAGTGGAAGTGTATGTATGCGTACTTGAACAAAGCAGTCATGAAAATGAAGTCTAATGAGACTGGCGAGCATGCGAGGATCTTTCTTTGAAACGTTCCTCACCACTTCACGAACAATGGAGTGAACCTTGGGACATGTGTCCCTGTAAAAGGAAGGATCAAGTTGTGCATGAAGAGAGAGCGGAAACACTCCCAGCACAACCAGTGCACAGCACAGAGCTGTCACTGTGACATGGAAACACCTCATTTTCTTCTTCTGAACTGATAATGGAACTCTGCGTTTTGTTGTTGTTGGTGTATGGTGGCAAACTAAGCATATAGCAAGCCTTTATTTATAGGGACAAATCGCCATCATGGACATTCGTCGCGTCGGCTAAGGATGAGTTGAAGAAATTATCATTAACTTTTCCTCACTTTCTCTATTCACATTTTCTTTATCTCACATGAGGTAGTGTTTTCCTATTACTGAACATTAAAAAAATGGTAATTTTTATGATGTCGGATTATTTGAGAATATTATTTTGACTGAAATTTTATTTTCATATCACTAAAATGTAGTATAATTTTTATTCTATCTTAACATTTAAAACAAGAATGTGATAAAACTAACTAAAAAATATTAAAATAATATATTGTTTTTTACTTTGTGCGGTATTTTATTTACTTTATATTAAAAAATTATTTTTATTAAGATTTTATTATTTTCACAACGTCAATTGAAAAAAATAAATTATTGGTTACAGTAGATATGGTTTTCAAAATAATTATTATAAAATTAATAAATTTATTATGTATAACAGTTGGTATAATAGGATGATACTGTTAAATCACTTTACATTAGAGTATATAACTTCAGTAGTTGAAATTTATGTTGCTATTATTTATATTACGAAAATGCAGTGGTTGTAGTGAGTGACACGTGGGCGGCACGAGCAGGATTTGTTTGTAAAAATTGTAAAATCTACTTTACCGTGAAATTGAAGGCATGAATAAATGGCATGGTGGGAATTATTCAACAAAAACATAAGTGTTGTGCAGTAGTATTGAAGTAAGCCGTGGTTTTGATTTTGTTGGAGTTTTGAATTTTCTCCACCATTCATTATTTAAACATTTTCCTTCTTCTTCTTATCTTTCATTGTTCGTTCAACTGCTACTTACTTTTTTGTACTGTCATTATTGCAGCCTTTAAAACATTAGGTGAACTCATTTACTACAATAATAAAAATATTGTGATAAGGGCAAAATAGAATATTACATAATTATTTTATTTAAATTTATTGTACTTCTTAATTTCCAAAAAAAAACTTAAATAACACATAAAATAAACCAAATATTGGTTAACAATAATACAAAAGCAGCCACCGTATATGTAATGAAAGAAGTGAAAGAAAAAAAATGGGAGAGGGAAATTGAAAAAGGTATAGAAAAGTGTCTCAATGTATGATTTCTTTTAGTAAACAACACAACTTGAAGCATTTAAAAACCAGAAATAAGCTTGGTGGCTGGGTTTCACTACAACCAGAAAATAAAGTCTCACTCTTTATATTATTATTTGATACCTTCAGCACATATTTCGACATTGAATGTTTTATGTTTCCAACCATAAAAAAATATTAAATAATAAAAGAGACTTGCCAAAATTTATAATTTTAAATAAATAAGAAAGAATTAAAAAAATATAGTATTATTGGAACCGAATCTTATTGATTCTAAAAAAAAAAAGGATAGAATCTCACTGACATTTTTCATGGATGCAAATAAACAAATAGGTTATATAAAACCAAACTAAGTAATTACATAAATGTTTTCATTTGGGGGTTTTAATAGTTGAAAGAAATTAGAACACGTTGGATCATATTTTTTAAAAGCATTATTAATTTTGCAGAATATTTTAAAATATTATAATTTTGTATCCGAAAATAAACCAACCAGAAAATTAAAATAAAAGATTAATACAAATATAGAAGAGACTAATTTCATTTTATTTGAAAAATATATAAATGAACGGATAATACTTTAACTTGAGGTGTATTGGTGAAGACCAACATCCTCACGTAAACTACATTTATTTTGGTGTACAAATGTACTTTCTTTAAACATTTAAAATTTGCAGGGCACAGAGATGAATGACAGAAATGGCAGAGTTGTTCGAGATATTTTCAAAGAACGAGAGCGTTGAAGAGTCAAATTAGGAAGCTATTTTGGCTTTAGAAAGTTACGAAGTTCTATGCAAGTTGCCATGGTAACTATTTTTTTATCCTTTTCACTGTTAAACGCTTAATTTCATTGAAATTTTCGAATTCAAAGTACACCGTTTTCGTCTAGAAAACTACTAGTAAAATATACATGTATCAAACAAAATTATTTGGGTTATTAGAATAACAACGAATTTAGTTCCTGATTATAGATAACTACTGTTTCTAAAATCAAATTGCACTCATAGGTCCATCGGTATAACTGAGAATCAATTTAAAAATTGATCCATTAATTTTAAATAATTTAATTTTTTAAAATTGATTTATTAATTTAAAATAACTAAATTTTAATTAAATTGAAATAAAATTTTAAAAATGGGTATAAAATTAATAAAACAAGAAATTGGTTAGATTTCAAGTATAGCTGGTTTTAATAAAAAAATTTAAAGATCTAATTCTTTTTAATATAATTTTTTTTAAAATATTTTTTTTAATCTCATATTAATTATATAATTGTAAATAATAATTATTTTATATTATTAATTATTTATCTTATAATTTCTAATATATTTTATATTTACAATAATTTATCATGATTATAATAATAATTTTTATTATTTTATAATAAAAATAATAATAATTATTATTAATCAACTTATTATATTATAAAAATATAATATAATTTTCTTGCACTTGGACACCACATGGGAAGTTCCTTGCACTTGGACAATTGAAGTTGTTTTGGTTATGAATTGAATACTATGAAGCAATAATGACACGTGATGGATGTAAATAAAATGTACCCCTACACCACACAAAAATGGTAGTTTACAAGTAGAAGAAATTGTCTTGAAATTACGTGTATTTATGAATGGAGTGAGTGGAATAGTCCATTATTATCATTTATCATTGTCTAACTTGACGGCCCACAAGTTCATCCATTTCATCCTACATTTATTTGGTTTCTCAGTTACCTTCATAATTTGGATCATACAAATAATACAGTGGAATAATAGGTTAACATTAGAACAAAAATATATTTGTAAATATTACAATGTGTTATTGAAAAGTTTATCAACATGAAAAATTAAATAATGAATTACAATAAATTTAATTTATTACTAAGCTATTTGTGAGTAACCTTTCGGCATATTGCACTTTTACTTCTTTTTTTATAATTTGAACTACTTTAAGACCAACACAATCTGTGACTATATGTTTGAAATGATTGAATTCCTTTAACCACCAAGAATAAGATAGTTCTTGATCTATTCAACTTACAAATAAGTAGTAAAAGGGGTCAGCCTGCCATAATTAAAAAAATAATAATTTTTTTAAAATATTTTTTTTAATAAATTTAATAATAAAATTATTATTTATTTGTCAATAATTCAATATATATATCTATATATATATATTATTTCAATTTAATAATATAAATCAATACATTATTTTAAAAAATTATAATTTAGAACAATAATAAAATTTACATAATAATAAATAATAACAAATATATATATATATATATATATATATATATATATAACGTTAAACTTATAAAATTTATATTTTTTATATTGAAAAATTCAAATACCTATATCTTTTTTATTTGATAAAACTTCATATTATTCTTGGTTGAGTAATTCTTACACTTTTAATTCAAGTAATAAAGATAAAAATAATCGATGCTTAGGATAAACAAGGAGAACAGGAGAGAAGATTATGTTTCGGGAAGGAGAATATTTTATGTGAGAATGAAACTTTTTTAATTCTCTTTTTAAAATTTTTAACTTTATATATTATCTTTATAATTAATTTTATTACAATAAAAAATTATTTTTTTATTAATTAGGCGGACTACGGGCTAGCTCGCCCAGTCCCGAGGGTTGACCCAACCGGTTAGCGGGCTTAGCAGGCGGGCAAAAGCGGGCTGGTGGGCTGAAAACACCAACCCGCCCCGCTATATTATGGTCTGGCCGGCCAGCCTGTCGAGCCTAGCCCGTTTTACCATCCCTACATCCAGGGCGGAATTCGACAGTTTTTGAAATGACAATATATAAATATTAAAATAAAATCATTTTTTTAATAATATTTGTTAGAATTAATTTAATTAATTCATTCCATTATGTGACTCATATGAAATATAATGATAGGCCCAAATGTGATTTAATAAATTATAAGGACCTATTAGTTATTATGTGAAGTCAGAATAAAATAAAGATAAAATAAAATATTAACTTACGGTAACCAACTTGATGGACGTTGGTTAATAAAAGAGATTAGGGTTATGTCTCTGGCCATAACGGTAAACCATCAAGAAAGCGAAGCGTGAGAAGAGAAAGAAAGACAAAGAGATAGATTGGGAAAAGGAGATTGGAGAACGAAAAAATTTAAGAAAAGATTCGCATGGATCAATGTTAGTCTTCTTACTATGATTCATGTATTGATGTATATTAAATTGTGAAAATCAATATTCTAAAGATCCTGTAGAGTAGTTTTCTATAATGAATTAAGAACGTAGGAAAATTATAGAAAAGTTTACATGTGGTATCATAGCGTAGTTATTAGATTTATGATTTTCCTCTTATGATAGTTTTTTCCAAATTATGTTTTTCTCAAATTAAGATTAACCCTAATTATGAATTTAGGGATTTCTCAATCAGATTAGCATGAACCCTAATTTATTCTCATAATATGTTTTTCCCAAAATTGAATAAAAAGATAAGCCCTAATTTATGGATAAGGCTGCATTTAATTTCAAATTGAAATCAATTTGATAATTTATGTGTTTCACCTTTTAATTGAAAAGAAAATTTAGGTATTTTAGTGTTTGGCGTCAATAATAGTTTTTATAATGTAATTAATTTCGCTGTAATTAATTAATGATGGATCAAGTTGACAGGACCTGGGCAATTGAAGGAATTCATGTACGTGTTTCCTTACGTGCGCCAGTTGCATATTAGGTGTGCTAACATGCAATTGAATTGCAAACATGCTTAGGGTTGCCTTACGTGCGCCACTTGCATATTAGGTGCACCAACGTGCACCAGTT